ATAAGCCGGTCAAAGACCGAGAGGCCACTCCTTACCCTAAACCAAGGGAGGGACAGAAGCCCTTAATAAACTTGGCCAGACGTTGGTTCCTTGAGCTAGGGAAGAGGAAGGCCATCCAGCATGTACAGCCGGATGGTTCCAAGAAAACATATTCTGATGCTTGGATGTTAATCTAGCAAAAGAAGAATATGCAACTATCAAAGTCGGCCTCAACGTCGAACTTCAATGACAGCTTTCAAAATACCTCAATGAGGTATTCTCAATCCAACCGAGAAGACCAAACAGGCGGCATGTCCGCCCACTCTAGTCCTCAGATTTTCCAAGCGGCCCCCATTGACCTTAAATGACCTCATTCCATCCAAATCATTGAGTTCAACGGCTCCATGGGGAAAGACTTCTTTTATGGTGAAAGGTCCACTCCATCTAGACATGAGTTTTTGGGAAATAATTTCACCCTTGAATTGTAAAGCAACACCTTATCACCAACATTGAAGGTCTTCTTTTCAATTTACCGATCATGCCACTCCTTTGACCGGGTTTTGTATAAGCTTGCACAATCATACGCATCCATCCTTAGTTCCTCTAACTCATGCAAATCTAGCCACCTTTGTTCACCCGCACTTGCCAAATCAAAGTTGATCTTTTTGATAGCCCATTGAGCACGGTGTTCAAGTTCAACCGAAAGGTGACAAGACTTACCATATACAAGCCGGTAGGGGGTTATGCCGATGGGGATTTTGAAAGCAGTTCTATAGGCCCAAAGGGCATCATCTACATTTTCCCACCAATCTTTTCTATTTCTATCCACTGTTTTCTCAAGAATCACCTTGATTTGGCGATTGGAAACCTCTTCTTGCCCACTTGTTTGTGGGTGATAAGTCGTACCGAAGCGTTGATGGACCCCATTCTTTCTCAACATCTTTTGAAACACAATATGAACAAATTGAGAACCATTGTCACTTACAACCGCTTTTGGGACCCCAAATCTAGGAAATATTACCTTTTTGAACAATTTCATCACAACTTTGTGGTCATTTGTTGGAGAGGCAATTGCTTCCACCCACTTTGAAATATAATCGACCTCCACAAGTATATAATGGTTCCCATTAAATGAGGGAAAAGGTCCCATCAAATCAATGCCCCACACATCAAACACCTCAAGCTCAAGAATCGGTTGTTGAGGCATTTCATTTCTCTTCGAAACATTACCGATTCTTTGGCAAGAGTCACACGTTTTCACAAAACCCCATGAATATATGAAGATATGAGGCCACCATTGTAGGGTTTCGTAGTGACCCGACACTACGCGGAAGGAAACCCACCAAGACCCGCCCCTTAATTAAAACAATAAACAAGCATAATAAATTTAATCAAACAAGATTAAGAACAAGAATTATACCTTTGACGCGTGCTTCGCTCCCAAAGAGCTCTTACTTCAAAATCCCGAAAACACGAGATCTCCGATCGATCGTACCCTCGACCTGACCCGAGTGTCCTAAGTCTTGAAGGTTAGTCAAGACCCGGACAAAATAACTATGAGTTTTACGAATCAAAGGTTTACTCTTTCTAGAGTTGCCTTTTTAATTCCACTCAAGGTTGTAATCTCAAAATCCCAACCAAGTGGGTATTTATAGAGAATGGGGACTTGAAACCCCTTTTCATGATCAATGTGGGATCATGTGCAATTGCAATAATTTATTTAATTCTAAAATAAATAATTGGGCAAAAGCAATCACAAGGCAACAAGTGGCAAGAGGAGAGAATGGGTTAGGTGAGGACCATATCCCATGGGGGGACCATTGCCTTGCTCCCCAAGGGAAGCTTGGAGGCTTTGGTCCCCACCTCTCCTAAACCGCCACACACAAGGCAGCTGGGCTGGCTGCCACCTAGTGCTGCCAGCACGCACAGCCACCTAGCATGCCTAGCTGGCACACCACGCATCTCCCAGCCCAACACTTGCGTGCTGCTAGCGAGCCACACCTTGTGCTGGGCGCTGCTGCCTTGCTATCGCAGGCACACGCACATGCATGGCTCTCGCATAACCAGCATCACACGCATCATTGCTGCACCCTTCGCACATGCTCGCACACCCAGCCAGCCAGCACCACTCGCCCATGCTCGCACATCTACGCGCAACCACTAGCGATGTGCTTGGTGCGTGGCCTGCGATGGTGCCTAGCACACACGCAAGGCCAGTGCTGCGTGCCAGCTAGCTGTGCTTGGTGTGTGGCCTGCGATGGTGCCTAGCACACACGCAAGGCCGGTGCTACCTGCCAGCTTGATGTGCTATGGTGCACACGCACACGCACACACGCATGTGCCTAGCACTGCGATGGTGCTGTGCGTGGTGCTAGGGGGTTGCGATAGTGCCCACGCTTATGCACACACACACATGGTTGTTGTGCTTGGTGCGATAGGGCTGCGATGGTGCCTAGCATCATGCTAGGGCTGCGATAGCGCCTAGGCATGATGATAGGGCTGCGATAGTGCCTAGCACACCATGGTGCACCTAGCACACACATGGTACGCCTAGGCTTGCGATGAGCTAGCCTAGCCTAGCTACGGCTACACTCATACTTGTTGCTTGTGATTTTGCGACGCTCGGTCTCGACGCCCTAGGCTCGATATCCGACGTCTGTATTCGTAAAACTCTGCTAACTCATTAAATCCTTTCGAATTAATTCGTCGTCTCGGATCGGTGATTCGATTGGGTTTGACCCGAAGGGTTCAGTTAAGATTAAGCTGTAACATCAATTGTACATTGATATTACTGGTCGGAAGCGGCCTCCACCTAGGCATTTCGATCACTTGACCTTACTGAAGAATTAGCTCCGTAATAATTCTGAACCCTTTATCGAAAGAATACACTTGTTGGAAGGACACCATTCCTTTCAACCATAACCCGCTTTGTAGCACTTTCAAGGCTGTTTTGTTGACACCCATGTGTCCTCCACAAGGATCGGAGTGGCACATCTTCAAAACACTCTTTACTTCATCATTTGGCAAACATCTATGGAGTAAACCATCTACTCCTCTTTTGAAAAAGGATCGGATCATCCCATATGTAGTGTCTTGCTTCCCTTTTCAACTTCTTCTTCTAGTTCCTTGAAGCATTTGGAGGAAACTCCCCACAAGACAAATAGTTCACCAAATCCGCAAACCAAGGAAGATATTTCTCGGTCAAGAAGTAAAGCACATCATCTTTCAACTCATCACAAATTGGGACCCCATCATCATTATCTAGCATGTTCTCTAACCGGGAGAGGTGATCCGCTACCGCATTTTCCGCCCCTTCTTATCCCGAATTTCGAGATCTAATTGCTACAAAGACAACACCCAACGGAGGAGGCGTGGTTTGGATTCCTTCTTGGCTACAAGATACTTAATAGTTGCATGGTCGGTGTAAACAATAGTTTTGGAACCAATGAGGTAGTACCAAAACTTCTCAAAAGCATAGACTACGGCTAGAAATTCCTTCTCCGTTGTTGTATAATTGCGTTGTGCTTCATTCAAAGTTTTTGACATATAATAGATCATATAAAGCCTCTTGTCAATCCTTTTCCCAAGCACACCCCCTATGGCCACATCACTAGCGTCACACATAAGTTTGAAGGGCAAATCCCATCTTGGCCCTTGCACAATAGGAGTAGAAATCAAAGCTTTCTTTAACTTGTTGCAAGCATTGAGGCACTCTTCATTAAACACAAAATCAGCCTCCTTTTGAAGAAGAGCATTAAGGGGTCTAGCAATTAGTGAGAAGTCTTTGATAAACATTCTATAAAACCCCGCATGCCTAAGAAATGATCTTACTCCCTTCACATTGATAGGGGGTGGTAGCTTCTCGATTACTTCAACCTTGGCTTTGTCAACTTCAATTCCTTTGTTGGAGATCTTATGCCCAAGGACAATTCCTTCCTTAACCATAAAGTGGCACTTCTCCCAGTTCAAGACCAAATTGACTTTTTCGCATCTAGCCAAACATTTGCCCAAATTTGTCAAGCAATCCTCAAATTTAAGGCCACCAACCGAAAATTCATGCATAAATACCTCCATTTCCTCTTCAAGCATGTCGCCAAATATGCTCATCATGCATCTTTGAAACATCCCGGGTTCTCCTGGAAGCAAATGGCATTCTCCTAGAAGCAAAAGTTCCATACGGACAAGTAAAGGTTGTTTTCTCTTGGTCATCCGGGTTTATGGGAAGTTGAAAGAAACCCGAATAACCGTCGAGAAAGCAATAATACTTGTGCCTAGTTAGTTTTTCAAGCATTTGATCTATAAAGGGGAGGGGGAAATGATCCTTTTTGGTAGATGCATTTAGACGTCTATAGTCTATACACATCCGCCAACCGGTCACGGTCCTAGTTGAGATGAGATCACCTTCCTCATTCTCAACTACGGTCATACCCCCTTTCTTAGGAACAACATGCACGGGGGAAACCCACCTTGAGCTCGAAATGAGGAAGATGATGCTGGCATCTAGGAGCTTGGTGATTTCCTTCTTCACCACCTCCCCCATTTGAGGGTTGAGTTTTCTTTGCCTCTCTATGGATGGCTTTATACCCTCCTCGAATGTTATGTGATGCATGCAAATAGCGGGACTAATACCCTTGAGATTATCAAGGGTATAGCCCAAGGCATTTTGATGGTTTCTTAACACACCACATAACATTCGAGTTTGGTGTTTATTCAAAGATGCATTCACAATAACGGGAAATGTGGAATTGGGTCCAAGAAATTCATACCTAAGGTGTGATGGTAGAGGTTTTAGCTCGACCATAGGCACACCCTTACCTTCCTTTGTAGTGGCAATCTCCAAAGAATGTTTGGGTGTGATTCCCATCCAAGCTTACTCAACGTTTCCTTCAACATTCTCATCAAGCAACCCTTCATACAACGCCATTTCCTTCCTTTTATCACTATATCTTTTCCTTGTTTAACAGGACATTCTCAAGGGAATTGTTAGTAGAGAGCAAGTGCTCTTACATAGAATTTACAATTCAATCAATGGTGTCAATTTTCATGCATTTCTCTAAAGTAGAATTAGGATATTTCATGCTTGCATTCAAATCAAACTCAAGAACCTCTTCACCTACTTTGAGTGTAATTTTAGCACTTTTCACACTAATCAGAGCACTGGAAGTAGCTAGAAAAGGTCTCCCTAAAATGATAGGAATATGCTTATCCTCATCCATGTCAAGCACAACAATATCAATCGGTATAACAAACTTTCCAACCCTTAGGGGAACATCCTCTACCTTACCCTTAGGGAATTTAATTGATCTATCCGCTAATTGAAGGGTAATGTTGGCAGGCAAAAGCTCCCCTATATCAAGTCTTTGGTAAACCGTATATGGCATAAGGCTAACACTAGCCCCTAAGTCACATAAAGCATTATCAATTTGCATTCGATTTATTGCACAAGGAATGGAAAAGTTACCTGGGTCTCCTAACTTTGGAGGCATCTTGTTCATTATGATTGCACTACAACTTTCGGTGAGGTTCACCGTTTCAACAACATCACAACTTCTTCTTCCACTCACAATATCCTTTAGAAACCTAACATAATTGGGAATTTGTTTTATGGCATTAGTAAAGGGTATTGAGAGGTGGACTTGTTTCAAGGTTTCTAGGAACTTACCAAATTGTACATCTAGCTTGTGTCTCACAAACTTATGAGGATATGGAAGTTTCTGCAATTGTGTTGGTTCCTTCTCTTTCTCTTTTTGAACTTTCTTTTCTTTTTCAATCTTTCTCTCATTTTCAACTCCAACTTCTTTCTCAACTTCATCACTTTTTTTGCTTTCACAACTTCTCTCATCTTCTTGCTCAAACTCACTCTCAAGGGAGGGCTCATTCATGGTCACTCTCTCATTGGTTTTCTTTGGCTCACTCTCCTTCAAAAACTTCCCACTCCTAGTAGAAATGGCATCTACCGGTCTCTTGGGGTCAAGCCCTTGGGGTGGAAGTTTAGAAGTGCTAGTTCCCTCTTTAATGGCATTGGCTAATTGGTAGATTTGGGTTTCTAGCATATTGTTGTGAGTCATAACCTCATTGAACTACTTGTCACTAGTGGCCATGAAGGTATTAAACATTTTAGCTTCGCTTTCCATCATCTCTTCTAGGCTAGACTTTTGTGGAGGTGCTTGAGTGTAATAATTGTCTTGTTGTGCTCTTGGACCTCTCACAATTGAATTAGCATTTTGGTTGTTAAAGCCTCTATTACCATTATTATTCCAATTGTTCCAGTTATTAGAACTCCCCCCTTGGTAGTATTGGTTTTGATTCCCATTAGTTCCCTTGATTGTTATGGTTATGGTTACCATAACCACTTTGTTGGTTGTAGTTACCTTGAGGATTTTGGTCCCTTTGGTTTCTACCACCCCATTAATTTTGGTTGTCGTAATCATAATCATTACCTCTTTGATTGAAATTATTCCCTTAATCTCTTTGATTGGGTGGTAAGTATCGTTGTTTTCATTCCTAGGTCTATTATCATAAGACAAGGCATTGACATGTTCATTTTCATACTCATTACCATCATCATTATGGGGTTGGGATGAAAGGAATGGTGTCCTTCTAACAAGTGTATTATTCTGATAGAGGGTTCAGAATTATCAGGAAGTTAATTCTTCAGTGAGATCAAGTGATCGGAATGCCTGGGTGGAGGCCGTTCCGATCTGTAATATTAGTGAACAATTAATATTACAGCTTTGTCTCGACTGAACCCTTCAGGTCGAACCCAAACGAACTACCGATCCGAACCGACGAATCAATCCAAAGGATTTGATGAGTCACTAGAGTATTTCGAACACAGACGTCGGATATCAAGCCTAGGGCATCGAGACCGAGTGTCGCAAAATCAACAATCAACAAGTTCGAACAAAGTCGTAGCATCACATTGGCCTAACCATGTGGTTGCTAGGCTGGCTCGAGGTAGCACATCACCATCGCAGCACCATGGGTGTGCGTGTGTGCGTGCTTCGCTAGCACAGCACCATCGCAGCACCCAAGGTGTGCGTACGTGCGTGGAATGCTAGCACAGCATCATCGCAGCACCATGTGTGCTTGCGTGTGTGCGTGCCTTCGCATGGCAACACCATCGCAGCACCATGCGTGCTTGCGTGCGTGCGTACCTCGCATGGCAGCACCAAGCAACAGCAGCATGATGTGCTTGCTTGTGTGTGTGCATGCCTTCGCATGGCAGCACCAAGCAGCAGCAGCGAGCTGTGGCCTCGCCCAGCACTGCTATGCGCCCAGCAGCATGTATGGCTCGCTAGCAGCACGCATGTGCTGGGGCGTGCTGGCAAGGGCAGGCTGGCTGTGCTAGCTGGCCGGCAAGGCAGGCTGCCAGCCCAGCCTTGCCTTGATGCCGGTTTAGGAGGAGTGGGGACCAATGCTTGGAGAAAAGCCTTGGGGAGCAAGGCAATGGTCCCCCCCCCCTTTTTGGTTATGGTCCTCACCTAACCACTCCTCTCCTCATGCCACTTGTTGATTGTTGATTGCATTGTTTTATAATTTATTTTTGATTTAAATAAATTAGATGAAAAATGCAACTATCCCACATTGATCATGAATGGGAGTGCAAGTTTCATTGCCCTATAAATACCCCAAGATTCGGCATTTGGAAATCAACTTGAGTGGAACTCAAAAAGGCATCTCTTATTATTGAGAAAACTCTAATTTTATACTTGGTCAAGTCTCGACTAACCCTCGAGACGAAGATCGTTCGGGTCGGGTCGTGGGTACGAGTTGTTGGAGGCCGTCACGCTTGTGAGGCTTTAAGCTTCGAAGTAAGAGCTCGGTTTACGAGCGAATCACGCTTCAAGGGTATTACTTATTTATCCCTTTTCTTAATTATTGTTTAATTATGTTTATGCATGCTTTATTGCTTTAATTATTGGGGTGAGTCTTGGGCAGGTTTCTCTTTCGCGTAGCGTTGGACGCTACGAAACCCAACATGGGATTGGGAATCAAAATTACAAGAAGATGCATCATGGTCATAAGACCCACAATTATCACAAAATAAGCATCCACTAGGCATGATATTAGATGTAGAAGTAGAAGGGCTAGAACTCATACCTCTCCCCTTAGATTGGGAGGGAAGATTTTGGGGCGATGTAAAGGACTCAAGCTTAGCTTTGATCGATGACATCTCCTTTCCAAGATTTGTAATTTGGGATGTCAAGTTGTTTATAGCATTGAAGTGATCTACCGAATAGGCTGCCCCCCCCCCCCACTCTTGCTTGTGGACTCTCTTTCATTTTCTTGCCAATCCATGTGGTGCCTTACCACATCTTCAATGATCTCAATCACTTGCTCTTCGGTTTTATTCATGATTGGCCCACCGGCTCCCGCATCCAAGCTTGTTTTGCCATGAGGACTCAAGCCTCCACAGAAGATTTGTAAAACTTGGTATGTTGGGATTCCATGGTGAGGGCACTCTCTTTGGTACTCCTTGTACCTCTCCCAAGATTCATAGATAGTCTCACTACCCCCTTTGCCGAAAACCTTGAATTAGAGCTCTTGCATCGGTCGTTTTCTTTTGAGAGTAAAATCTCCCTAAGAAAGTCGTGATGACCTCATCCCAAGTTCTCAAGGAATTGGGTCTCACCTCCTTTTCAAGCCATTCAAGAGCCCTTCCTATCAAGGAGAAAGGAAATAGCTTTAGTCTCAAAAACTCTTGAGTGACCCCATTCACCTTGATCGTGTTGCAATATTTCTCAAACTCGTTCAAATGTGCAAGAGGGCTCTCGTGTTTTGCTCCTTTAAATTGTCTCCTCTCAATCAAATTTATCATTACGGCCCGAATCTCAAAATCATTGGCCGGGGTGTTTGGGGGAACAATCCCACTCGAAGCTCTATAAGCTCCCGGAGTTCCCAACTCCTTCAAAGGTCTTTGAAGTGGTGGCTGTTGATCACCCATTTGGCCTTGTTGCTCCTCGAAGTTGAACTCTATAGTTGGGGAAGTAGTTAACGGCCTAGAATCGGATCTCCTTCTCCTTCTTCTTCTAAAAGTTTGTTCAATCTCGGGATCGTAAGGCACCAAAATCCTGTTATGGGTTCTGCGCATACATACTCAACAAACACAATTATTAGAAAAGCTACAAGTGTAGCCAAAGGGAAAACAACTCTTTTTGTTGTTTTTTTTCATAATGAATTAGACTCAAGAAATCAAATAGTAATCGACAACACCGCTCCTCGGCAACGGCGCCATTTTGACAAGCGCTAAATCAGTCGCACAATCTAGGCTAAGGCAAACGCATTTATAACAAACACCTCACTCAAACAAGTACAATGGTTAGCAAGGGTTCGGTCCACGAAGAACGGGAATCAATCGCTAAATGATCTTAACGCTCAAGCTAAATCGAAATCAAGGTAATAGTGGTGATTAACTAACAAACTACAACTAAGGATTGAATTCAAGTAAATAAAACACTAGGAGAATGGGATTCACTCAACCAATAGCAATTAGGCAAATATGAAGGAACAAGGATAATGGAATAGCAAAGACCACATGCAAGACCAACTTCAAACGATATGAAAACAACTCAAATCACTAAGCTTAGATCCCCCGTTAACTTAGCAACAAAAGATACATAATCATATTGTAATAAGTAATGAAACATTCAACTCACATTTCCATGTCGAACCAAACATTTCATGCCATCAAGTTCAATAATCTAGGTTAATTACTCCTATCATGAAGAACTAACAAGCAATCCCATATAATCCATTTTAATCATAATCCATCATCAAAATCACTCCCAAACTCTCATAATCACCATTAGGTTGGGTTTCACCCAACCCCTAGCTAAGGAACTACTCACACATCATATTGAAAAGCACAAAATCTCTAGGTTCTATCTTGCTCAACAAACTTAGAATAGTAACTTGCTAAAAATAGAACTAACATTCAACAACAATCATCAAAGAACTAAAAAGGATTCAAATAACAAGGTATAACATGATAAATAAGAAATCGAGTAAAGTGGAAAGAGAAAAGTTACTAAAATGAAGCTTCAAAATCTTGATTACAAATGTTGCCAAATCTTGGTAATAATCGTGAATGCTAGTAAAAAGTGTCAAAGTTGATGAAATCTAAGCTAAACTTTTAAGAAAATTGTTTAAGACCCAACAAGGGGTGATATTACAAGCCTTTCTCTCTCTAAAATCTGGCTACCCTCATAAATGAGGCAATTAATCTATTTATATTAGTCCAAAACAAAGGGGGCGGAGAGAACAAGAAACCGATCTGAAAATGATTGGTACGGACGTGCCAAACACTGCACGGCCGTGCAACAGGGTCAGAAGAGCTGAAAACTGGAGCAGAGGCCTGGCACGGGTGTCCCACATACAGCACGAACGTGCCAGTTTGTGGCACGGGCATGCAACCAAGGCAGAAGCTTTGTCGTTATCAGCAGCTAACTTGCACGGTCGTGCCAACATCATGCGTGGTCGTGTAGCTTCCAGCATGGGCATGCCAATTTCTGCACGTCCGTGCAGCCTTCTCAGAGGGCTTTGCCAATCTTCAAACTCCCTTGCACGGCCGTGCCAAACATCATGCATGGTCGTGCAGCTCCCAGGAGGTCTTTAAATGAAATTCAAGCCTAGCCAAAGATACCTCAAGGCCATGGCTTCTATCCCAACCATCGGGATGTCCCGTAGGGGTCCAAGCATCGCTGAAAGTGCATCAAAACACTAACAAAACCCGTAAAGCATGACAGATATGAAGAAAGTGCAGAAACAGAGCGATAAGTGAGAAAAATAGCTAGAATATGGCAATAAGTGAGCACTAAATCACCCTAAAACCGTGCACTAAAGTACGTTGTCACGGCCCTACCGAGTGTCTCTAAGACAACCTTGCAGTTATTTGACCTGAGACGAAGATAAACGTACCGTTTCCTACAAACAAGCGGTAGACAGTTAAAATCTAAGTCAAAAACCGCCTGTTATTGCTTAGGACAATAATACGGTCGGCATAATTTGAGTAAATAGCTAAGAAAACCTTGGCAAATATAGAGGTATCATGCGGCCAAAGCCGCCTGTTTCTTTTACTCACTCAAATCAAAGTGACAGAGATTGAATAACCCAAAGGGTTAACTCATAGTCACACCAGCAACCTTGGAATGGAACCTAAACGGTGCGAACCAAACCGCCTGTTTCTTGGCAAAAAGATGGTATTCGGCCACTATTCCTTCTAAAGGTTAGCAAGCAGTAACCGCTTGTAAACATAGATGCGACTACTACTCCAGTTAAATGCACTAAGCGCCGCCTGTTTCCATGCGAGAAACAATCAACAACCCAAAACTTTGAAAGTGGAACA